TGATCCTATTTTGGGTTTAAAGAACAAGCATGTGGATGTGCCTGGGTGGCTCAGTTGGTTAGTGTCTGACTTTCCTTTTTGGCTCAGGTCATTATCTCAGAGTTGTGGGATCGAGCCCCACATCGAGCTCTACACTGGGCACAGAGCCTGCTTGAGATTCTCTCTCCCTCTGAACCTCCCCGAGCTTGCATATGTATGCTTAAAAAGTTAAAGTTAAAAAAGAAAAGAACAAGTATGTGTATCTGAGCAGCAAAACAATCTCAAAAACTATACACAAAAAGCATTAGCAATAATTGTCATTTTCATTTTTTTAGTTTTTTTCCCAAACTTTTCTTTTTTTTTCTTTTTTTTCTTTTTTTTCCCCTTTTTTCCCCAAACTTTTCTAATGAAAAACCTTTAAAAATGAGAAATTATCTTTAAAAATCAGGAAAAAAGGCTAAAAAGGTGAGAAAAAACTGAATCCTGTCAACACTAACTTACATAACCAAGTTTTAAAAAGATGCAGACTCAATAATCCTACTTCAAAAATTTTCAAATAATGTAAGTGCAAAGACAACACTGTTGATTACAGCATCATAAAGGCAAAAAACTGAAAACCTAAATGTGCAACAATTACAGTTTAATTTGGCACAGATATTTATTGGAATACCTTCAATCCAATGTGTAGATTATTAAATGTAAACTAGGTAAAAAAAAAAAAAGTACAAAAATACACCATTCTCCTTAACGAAGAGATAATATACCTAAGCATAGATAAATTACTTAAAGTATATACGGTTTTCCAAAATGTTAACATTTTGAATAGTTGGTAGTCATGACTTCAAAAATCATCTATGTGGTGATGATTTACAAATTTTATTTTTAGCTCATAGTTTCCCCCCAGAAATCCAAATTCATATATGCAACTACATACTCTTTATTTCCAGTCAGATGTCTTAATAAGACAGTATATTCAAAATAATTTCCTAACCTTCCCTTTACCCCCTGAAAATACCTGGTCTACCCACAGACATCCCAACCTCAGTTCAGGGCAACTCCATTTTCTGTTGGGCAAGCTTAGAGTCATCTTATAATGTATACTAAATCCATCACAAATCATGATGATTCTGTATCATCACTTTCTCCTTCCATGCTAAGTACTTAACTACTCCCAACATAGTATAAGTTTACTTGGCCACTATAATGTCTCCCGACAGAATGTAAGCTCAATGAGAGTAGGGACTTTGTGCGTATGATATATCTCACAATGAAGAATACCAGTACCTAACAGACACTCAATAAATATTTGCTGAATGAATAGAATATTTCATTCTCCATTTCCTCTCAAAGCTTAAAAACACCAATCCATACACCCCCAAAGGGGAAGCTACTGGTAAGATGAGAGTGAATTTTTAGGTGACTCATTTACTACAAATACTAAAGTACCTTTTAAAATCGCTGTAGGTAAAAAGAGTAACAAAAACAAAAAAAGCTTACATAGGCTATAATTCTATTTTTACTAATAAAAGAAAATTCTAGACATAGGATGAAATAAATGTGATATAGATATAATACTTTTTAGATGGGTCATCTTACTTTGTGCATACTGGCACTAGCCATGTGGTAGGCCAGAAAATTGTACCAGTACATGCAGTCCTCCTGATCTGGTGAAAGAGTATGTGGCTGGTAATGTTTCTGGAACTGAGTGACTATCTTCTTATGTAGATCCTGAAATCCAAATGAAATATTTTAGAGGAGAGAAACAATTTTATTACCTAAGCATCATGGTAACTACAGCTTACCAAGCTATTTAAAATTACACAGAGAAGTGTGTCCGGGTGGTTCAGTCGGTTAAGCATCTGCCTTCGGCCCAGTTCTTGATCCCAGAATCCTGGGATCAAGCCCCACACTGGGCTCCCTGCTCAAATGGGAGCCTGTTTCTCCCCCTCCCTCTGCCTGCCACTCCCCCTGCTCATGCTCTCTCTCTCCCCCTCTGCAAATAAATAAATAAAATCTTTAAATAAAAATTTTAAAATTTTAAAAATTTAAAAATTAAAATGTGCAGAGAATCTCCCCCACAAAATACTTATTAATTACAAAAGGAAAAAAATTTTAGCTTTAAAATGAAGAAACTAGCAGGTATCGCTTTAACCAAGTGATCAATATTAACATCATTGACAAGACATATGGACACGCTGATATGACGCTCTGAGAAGGACACAATAGGACTTGTGGTATTCTTCCCAAAAATATATAACCTTTATCTAGTCAGGAGAAACCATCAGACAAACCCAAACTAAGGGACAATATACAAAATAACTGGCTAGTACTCTTCAAAAGTGACCATGAAAGATAAAGAAAGCAAAGAATCTTCAGAGATTTGAGGAAACTAAGAAAACAGGACAATTATATGCAATGTGGGATTTTTTTTTAAAGATTATATTTATTTATTCATGAGAGACACAGAGGAAAGAGAGAGGCAGGGACACAGGCAGAAGGAGAAGCAGGCTCCATGCAGGGAGCCCAACATGGGACTTGATCCCAGGTCTCCAGGATCACACCCTGGGCTGAAGGTGGCGCTAAACCACTGAACCACCCGGACTGCCCTGCAACGTGGGATCTTGATCTGAACCACAAAGGGGCTATTAGAGGGAAAGCTGGCAAAATCTACATAAAACCTGTGGGTTGGGCAGCCCAGGTGGCTCAGCGGTTTAGCGCTGCCTTCGGCTCAAGGCATGATCCTGGAGTACCAGGATCGAGTCCCACGTCAGGCCCCCTGCATGGAGCCGGCTTCTCCCTCTGCCTGTGTCTCTGCCTCTCTCTCTCTGTCTCTCATAAATAATTAAAATTTTAAAAAAAATCTGTGGGTTAACAGTATTCTATTTTTGTCAATTTTCTGGTTTTGATAACTGTATTATAGTTATGTAAGATGTTACAGTGGGGAAGCTAGATGAAGGTACATGCATAAAACTGTACTGTTTTGCAACTTTTCTATTAGGCTAAAATTATTTCAAAATAAAAAAATTTTTTAAATGTACAGAGATCCAGGCAGCCCGGATGGCTCAGAGGTTTAGCGCCACCTTCAGTCCAGGGCACGATCCTGGAGACCAGGGATGGAGTCCCACGTCGTGCTTCCTGCATGGAGCCTGCTTCTCCCTCTGCCTATGTCTGTGTGCCTCTCTCTCTCCCTGTGTCTCTCATGAATAAATAAATAAAATCTTAAAAAAAATAAATCTTTAAAAAATAAAAATAAAATGTACAGAGATCCAAGTACCTGAAGTTGGTTGCGATTCTTCTCTATAAGGAAATCTACTTGAAGATCATGTAAATAATAACGAAATGATTTTCCATTCCGATCACAGAATAAGAGAGACTTATTAACAAACTCCTGCAGAATATCTTCAACTTCTTCAGTTTCCATGTCCCAGAGAATACATAACACCTAGAAATCATTTTAAATATTTAATATACCACAAAACTACAATTACCAGGATTGCAGATAAGGTGTTACACACACAGAGAAATTTTTTTTTTTTCTTCTTAAAAATTTTATTGGGGATCCCTGGGTGGCTCAGCGATTGAGCACCTGCCTTTGGCCCAGGGCCTGATTCCAGAGTCCCTGCCTCTCTCTCTGTGTGTCTCTCATGAATAAATAAATAAAATCTTTAAAAAAAATGTTTTTATTTTTTTATTCATGAGAAACGAGAGAGAGAGAAAGAGAGAGAGGAAAAGACACAATCCAGCAGAGAAGCAGGCTCCCCACAAGGAGCCCGATGTGGAACTGATCCCAGGACCCGGGGATCATGCCCTGAACCAAAGGCAGACATTCAACCGTTGAGCCACCCAGGTGTCCCGAGAAAACGTATCTTAAAGCCCTGAGTAACAGTATCTCCGTTTCATATGAAGAAGCTCAACTATTCATCAAAATAGAAAAGTCAGATGCTTCTAGAACTGACAATAGGAAGCTAACCAAGGGACACCTGGGTGGCTCAGTGGTTGAGCATCTGCCTTCCGCTCAGAGCATGATCCCAGGGTCCTGGGATCGAGTCCCGCATTGGGCTCCCTGCATGGAGCCTGCTTCTCCCTCTGCCTATGTCTCTGCCTCTCTCTCTACGTCTCTCATGAATAAATAAATAAAAATATTTAAAAAAAAGGGGGGGGGGGATACTAACCAAACCCTTGATGGAAACTAAGATGAGACTTTTACACTCTCTACACCTCAGTGACGTGGATCTTAATCTTCCAATATCCTCTGTAATAACATCCTTGGTACTATATCAAAAGTTACATGCCATAAATATCCAATGACAAGGATTGTTGGTCCTTCTATTACCTTTGTAGGCACCTTAACATCCTTCTGAAGGATGGAAAGATCTGTGTAGTAATCTTTGATGTCCTCTCTGAGCATTTCAACACTTATAGACATGGCTTCATCCAGAGCCTCATAATCATAAAATGAAGATTTCCTTATTCTCTTAAATTGCTTATTCTGAAGTTGCCTGAGGTAGTAATCCCAACGGTTAGGAAAATCACGTAAAAGTGCACCAATTAAAGACACTACAAGAGGAGAACCTAAAAACAAAACAAAGCAACAAAGCCACTATGTTAATACTGTCTCATTTCAAAATTACCACTAAGAGTCACATTAGTCTTAAAAAACAATTTCTGTTGCATGTTACCTAAAGCCTTAAAATATGTGTAACTTTTGAATTCACTTTAGATATTTATTCTAAGGAAGCCATTAGAGATAAGAAAGAGGGATGCCTGGGTGGCTCAGTGGCTGAGCATCTGCCTGCAACTCAGGGCGTGATCCCAGGGTCTGGGATCGAGTCCCGCACTGGGCTCCCTGCGGGGAGCCTGCTTCTCCGTCTCTCTCTCTCTCTCATTCTGTGTCTCTCATGAACAAATAAAGAAGCCAATAAATAAATAAATAAATAAATAAAGAAAGAAAGAAAGAAAGAAAGAAAGACTTCCTTTAAGGATATTCATCAGAGCATTATTTAAAATAGTGAAAAATCCTTCTGCAGCCAATTAAGCCAACTGTGCCCTTTCTCCATGGGCACCCAGCTTGCTATCACTACAAATAGCCTGCTTGCTAGTGTATGCAGCCTGTTGATTGTATGGGTTGCCCTAAGGGACCTTGGAGACAGTCCTTTCCAGTGGACTCTGAGGTCTGACCTCATGCCATCTCTAATGTAGGCCACAGGCAGGTATGGGGGGGTGCCTTTGGAAAGCCCTAGGACACAGGAGCCAAGTTCCACATTGGCCAAGTCATCATGTCCATCCATACCAAGCTGCAGAACTAGGAGCATGTGATTGAGGCCCTACTCAGGGCCGAGTTCAAGTTCCCTGGTCGCCAGAAAATCCACATTTCCAAGAAGTGGGGCTTTACTAAGTTTAATGCAGACAAATTTGAAGACATGGTGGCTAAAAAGTGGCGCATCCCATGTGGCTGTGGGGTCAAATACATACATCCCTAATCGTAGCCCCTTAGACATATGGGGAGAGCTCTGTACTTATGAGAACCTTGGCACTGCTCCCTCCCAATAAATCCTACTTTGTCAAAAAAAAAAAAAAAAAAGCAAAAAATGTTAAACAATAACAGAGAAATAACTGAATAAATTGAGGTTACCACAATATTATGCCAATGATAATTTTTTTCAAAAGATACTTAAAGATGTGAGAAAATGTTCAAGATCTATTATATGAATAGGGTATGATTCAAATTATTTAACCACTGTAATCCCAATATTTTTTTCAAAGTTTTATATGTCCTAAATGACTGAAATGCTCTCATGATACTAATAATTATCAGATTATGGGTAATTTTTTTCTTTATCATTTCACACACTTTTTAAATGTTTCAGAATGGGCAAGCATCACCTATATGATGAATACAAATGAAGTGATTTTTTTTTTTTCTAAGATATTTTTTAAAAGTCCATTAACTCCATTGGGGAACCTGGGTGGCTCAGTTCGTTAAGCATCTGACTCTTGGTTTCAGCTCAGGCCATGATCTCAGGGTTGTGAGATCAAGCCCTGTATTGGACTCCCCACTGAGTGGAGAGTCAGCTTCCCCTTTCCTTCTGCCCCTTCCCCCTTGTGAGCATGTGCATGTACTCTCAAATAAATAAATTTTTTTAAGTCAATTAACTCAAAACCAAGTATCTATTGGATGGCAAAGAAGAAAAAACAAGGTCTACTGAAGTATTATTAACAACAGTGGAAGAAATGCTAAGAGCTGATAGATGGAACTACATAAAATTTTAAATTTTTATATGTCAAATAAATTCTACAAATGAAATTAAAAAGCAGACAAAAAACTAGGGGAAAGTATTTACAAAAATATGGCCAAGAGCTAATAGCTTCAATAGTCAGAATGCCTAAAAATCAATTAAACACTTCTATCACAATGAAAAATTGAGTCAAGGATAATTTCTTAAAATGCAGAGAAACCAGTAAAAAATTTAACTTCAAAAAAAAATTTAACTTTACTAATAAAAAATGCAAATTAAGAAGACAACACCAGGGATGCCTGGGTAGCTCACTGGCTGAGCATCTGCCTTTGGCTCAGGCTGTTATCCCGGGGTCCTGGGATCAAGTCCCACATTGGGCTCCCTGCAGGGAGCCTGCTTCTCCCACTGCCTATGTCTCTGCCTCTCTCTCTGTGTCTCTCATGAATAAATAAATAAAATCTTTAAAAAAAAAAAAAAAGAAGAAAAAGACAACCCAGTTTTTACCTATCAAATTAGAATACTATTTTTATAAAATCCCAACCAAAAAAATGTAAAACTCTGATTCTCACTATTATTTTTCTTTTTTGGCAGAAACCATGTCTTCATCTAACCCCGCTCGCTAACGTACTGTGGGTGTTCATTAAGCATTATTTTAATGAATAAATGAATACCAAATTATTATTATCTATTTAAAGTGTCAGAGCAGAACCTAAAATATAAAATACTAAAATATTCTACTAAAGTTTCTGGATGTTCATGTGCTAAATTATCACATTCATAAGCTTAATTTACAAAAGAGTAAAATTAGTATCTCTATAATTCTCTCACATACAAAATAAATAACCATACCTTTACATTCTTTTATAATACTATGAGCTTGCTCTGGCAAATCTGCTTTCTTCATATTAACGAAGAGGGACAGAATTTCAAGTCCTTTTTCTTTTCCTAAGTCACTCTCCACAGCGACTATGTATTTAGGACCTGCAACAAAATCACAAGATATAGTAATTTACTTTAAATATATTTAAATCTAATCAAATTAAGATATAAAGAAAAAAAATTAAGATATAAAGGAAGTAAAAAGCAAGTTAATCCTTACCCATTACTGAATCTGTAACGCTCTTGTCTCTGGTTGTAAGAAGAATCTGACACTGATTGTCAAAAGCTTTTAATATCCAGGAATCCCAAATATCATCCAAGATCAACAGAGACCTAATTTTTAAAAATAGCAATACTAACTTATTAAATCACTAATGACATTTATTATTTTCAACCTCTTTTGGGATGCCTGGGTGGCTCAGTGGTTGAGCATCTGCCTTTGGCTCAGGGCATGATCCAGCAGTCCCAGGATCAAGTCCCATATCAGGCAACCTGCATGGAGCCTGCTTCTCCCTCTGCCTATGTCTCTGCCTCTCTCTGTGTCTCTCATGAATAAATAAATGAAATCTTTAAATAAAAATAAAATTTACAGAATAAAGATGTCTATTTCATGGCTCTTACTCTTTTCTTTGCTATATTCCTTTCACAATATACTAAATCAAATAAGGAAAACAAATTAGAGGTTTTCCTCTCTTCCTATCCCAAAACAACGAAAGCATTTTAAAAGGTAGGAAACCTATAAAAAGAGAATTATGTGTACCATATAGGTCTTAAAAATTGGTTACCGAGGGCCTTAAAAGAAGTATCCAAGCAATGAGATTTTTCTAATTCACTCTTTAAGCACCAAAAACAAATGAGAACTGGGGTCAGGTTAGCATTAGAATCAATCATTTAACAATGATGATATCTGACCATTTTTTACCTACAAAACCAGCAATTTCGTATTTTCCAACCTAATATAATGCACTAGCAAGAATATTACCTTTCATTTGGTACACTAGTGGGGTTTTTTTTTCCATCCATAAATCAGTTTGTTTATTCCTAATGATAAAGAACCTCTGTGCCAATTCTTGATTGGTTTCTCCAAAAACTTTTTTGAACTCAGAACAGATGGAAAATAAATACAACTAAAAGCTGATAGTATAATTACACACTAGCATTTTTATCCTAATGGTACACACTTCTGTATACTACAAAAAAAGATTCTGGTACACATACAGCCTGGAAAATTGCAAAAGTATACACCAAAATGCTGCTGAGAGAGAAATTTAAAAAAATGACTTTATAAGCATGGTCTGATACATCTGATAGCATTTATAATATTTTCCTAAATAGAAATCACTTTTGCTTTCACATAGAAAGGAAACAGGACTAGAGAAGGATACTGCACAAGAAAAGAGGTTAATATTTAGTAGTCTCGAGGCACCTGGTCTCAGGGCTCAGTCTGTTAAGCTCCCGATTTCTTGATTTCAGCCCAGATCATTATCTCAGGGTTGTGAGATCGGGCCCTGAGTCGGGCTCTGTGCTGGGTGTGGAGCCTGCTTGAGATGCTTTCTCTCCCTCTCCTTCCTTCTGCTCCTTCCCCACCCTCTCAAAAAAAAAGTCATACTTTCAATCCCATTTCCTCCAGAAAAATAGATTTTAGTGACTACCAAGGGGAAGGAACAAAAACAAGAATCTGGATGGGAAACAAGCCAAAGAGAAAGGAGCTTGTTCTCTATAGTATGCATCCATACAATCACCTAAGAGGCTTTTCCCAAATTACTACTCTCACCCAATATTCTAATATTAATCCCCTTACCAATTTAAGAATTACTGCCATACTCAGCCACTGCTACATACGAAAGTGTACTGCATCATCAGCTATAATACGGCATTAAAAATAATTGAGCCATTATCTAATTCTCACCCAATTTACTGTTGAACTCCCAAGGAAGGCTTTATTCATCTTTGTACTTGTAGCACTTGACCAAGAACCTGGCACAACACTCAATGTTGGTTAAATGAACCAATGAAAGAATGGGTGTTAGACCACAGAGATCAAAGTGTTGGCTGAACCCCAGGTGATTAACTACTGATGGTCATATTGTTAACCCAAGCAACTAAACTACTGTCTTCCTGCTGGCTAATGAAAACTGGGGAATAGTTGATAACAGTGCCTGGCACATAATTATAATGGTATTTATTGAACAAATTAAACAAAACAAACTCTTGAAGTTCACAGAAGTAGAAGAGTTACATATATGTATGTATATATTTTTTTTCCAACCTAATATAATGCACTAGCAAGAATATTACCTTTTATTTGGTACACTAATAGGGGTTTTTTTTTCCATCCATAAATCAGTTTGTTTATTCCTAATGATAAGAACCTCTGTGCCAATTTTTGATTGGTTTTATGTATCCCAAAACTAAGACAACACAAGACAACGGTCTCATTAAATAAATAATTATTTTACATTTATGCCATCTCTTGTTCACTGTTATCCATTAGAAATAACAAATTCAAGGTAAGAAGCTTGCATTTTCTAGCAAAGACCACTCACCAACTCACCTTAAGAAGTACTTCCTGAGCATCTCAGTGGTACTTAAGAGACAATATGGTAGGGAAGATGCTAAGAAAAGTAGCAATTTCAGGCAAGAGGCAGCCACTTTTTAATGTAAGACAAAGAAGAGCAGAAAAGGAATGCTTCATTTTTAGATCTCTATTGAATAGCAAGAAAAGACATGATGTTCTCAAAATGTCAGAAGTTAAATTTCATTGGGACTTCACACACCAACTAAATTTGACTATTTGTACCTTGGGTGTTTGCGCAGCATAAGAAGGCGAAGACGGTCTTTAGCTTCTTCAATATTGAGTGGAGGCCTCTGAGAGAAATTCTCATCCTGATCCAACCGTGTGCAAAGATTCTGCAATTTCATCAGAAGCCCAGCTTTGTCTTGTTTCCCAACTGAAACCCAGTGTACACCCCCTGGGAAACAGCCTAGGAAGAAAAAATAATAAACTTAAGACCTCTGAACAAGAGTCCTCCTTTGA